ATTTGAGTTATATAAATTTTAAACTTGACTCAATTTGACTCAACTTGATTTTAACTTGATTTGATTTTGAAAAAAAAATAAAAAAAAAATGAAAAGATCGAGGAGGGGGGAGAAAAAAAAAGTGAATGATTTAAGTCATTGTTTTTCTTGAATGATTTTTTTATCATTCAAGTCGAATGATTCAGGTTATCATTCTTCTTGAACAATTTTTTATTATTCAAGTCGAACAATTCAGGTTATCATTCTTTTTGAATGATTTTTTTATCATTCAAGTTGAACGATTCAGGTTATCGTTCTTCTTGAATGATTTTTTTATTGTTCAAGTCAACTCAAGTTAATTCAAGTCAATTCGAATCAAATCAAGTTTAAATTGAGTCAAGTTAAATATTTAACTCAACTTAAATTTGGCTTGACTTGCAAATCATCAAGTCAAAAAAATATAAACTCGACTTGATTTGAACTCAACTTGGCTTATCTGACTCGTGAGTTAACTTGATTCGTCTAGAACTCTAAAAGGAGTGTAACTGGATACATAAAAAACTGAGGCTAATAGAATATTCTTTAAGTATTTAGATTACTAGAAAAAAATGAGAAGCAAGTAAGACAATTGCTTACATAGATTCAGAAAGCAATCATTTCCAGAGTGAATCAATATACTTAAGTTCATTTCTGAAAAAAAATGAATATATTCCTAAATCTTATAAGCCACTACTCCCTAGTTTTTTGCGTAAATTAGAATCAGTATTTGCTGGCATAATACATATACCTAAAAATCTGTCAAAATTTAACACTTATACTAGGAAAGCCCTTCGACATTTGTTAACAACCATGTTTCTCTATCTGATAGATATACTATAGTCAATTACAGAAAGTAGGGTCAACTTTATGATCAAGCAAGTCTATTTAACATCTTTGATGAAAATTAATCACATATAAGGGTTAGAGGGGATTCTAGAGGAATCAGGTTAGAAGGATCGATAAATCAGTCTGATATTATTTATTAATTTTATTTTTTCGCTTAAGGCAAAATATATCATATATTAAATATCATGAAAATGATAACTAATCAAAATCATTCATCTGATATATCCAGCGAGAAAGAAGTTATCAGATACACAGAGAAATTAGCTCAGATATTTGGATTAAACAAGCAGAATGCAGGAGTATATAAAGTACTCTCTAGATAGATTTTAACGTTAAAAAAAAGACTGGAAGATTATTATTTTAAATATATAAAGCTTAAAAAGAGGGTCAATTCATTAAAAGTTAAAATAGAAGATCTGGACGAATGTGTAGATAGGGAGATTATGGTCGACTTAATATAAGAAAAAGTTCTCTCACTGATTGGTAAAAAAGGGCTGAAAGGCAGTGATATACATTTTTGATGTCCCAGAAATTTGTTGTTTCAGCTATATGTTCCAGTTATATATCTCAACCTGTCTTACACTATGTCCTAAATGTCCTATCTATTCCATCTATGTCTCATTAGTGTCCCATCAATATCCCATGACAACACTGTTGAAAGGCATTGTGCATAAGGCTTCATGTTGTTCTTTCTATTTGTCTGAGCCCTCTGAAGATTTTGATTCAGATAAGATAATTGAGAAGTTCTATAGGTATCAGATAAAAAAAAAAGGATGTCCTTCATAAGCAATAAAGGAAAGTGTGACTGAGAAAGATTAAGCAGATGGTAGTTTAAAGAGATAAATCAGACATTTTGCATATTTTTTAATCAAAGATATTTGCCCTCTTATCTAAAAGACTGCGAGGTAGAGTCAATGACTAAGCTTTATCATTTTTTTGAATTAATGAGAAAATATATATAACAAAAATAAGGTTATTAGCTATCGATAAATGCTAGTCCGCAGTGACAGAGGTTTATTTTTTATGATTAAATATTATATATTCTATAATAAAATGATCATTGTAAATTATGCAGTTGAAAAAAATATCCCTATAGATCTAAAAAAGTGTTATAGTATAAATGATATATAGGAAAGTGAGGCAAATTTCTCTCTTGATCTAAAATCTTTAGGATGTTTAGTTTTCAATTTTTTTATGTGTAATTTCTAAGCAAAAATTTTTTATACAGTATTTTCTTTCACTGATCATGAATGTAATGAATTATCAGAAATTTTATTTGAAGCTGAAAGAGTATAAGATTTGCATAGACTATTCTGAAGAACTTCTTAAAAATTTATTCCTTAGAGGATTATTACCTGAGAATGAAATAAAAGTTCTTATGGATGGTTTATAAGTGCTTGCATTAGATGAGATAGTGGAAAGGCTTAATTTAGAGCAGTAATCACGTACTTTATTTTTTGATTAAAAATAAAATACAGCTAGTTAGTTATGATAACAATAGATAGCCTCTTTGAAGCAAAAGATACACTTAATTAGTTAGATTGAACATCTCCTTCAATTTCTCCAGCATTGAAACCTGAAAGAAGCAAAGATAGCCCAGCATCAGTTCAAGATAACTAATTACTAAATGAATTTTTGAAGCATATAAAGCATATACTTTATTATCAGATTTGAACTTACGTAAAGAAGAAATGAAAAAAGCTTTCTTTAAAGGTCTCAATAAAAAGGTAAAGACCGAACTTGGATATAAAGAACCCTTGAAACCTTTGAATAGGTTATATGAAGTTATAGATAAAATAAGAATGTATGAAAATAATTGTGATACAGAAAAGATCAAAAGGCCTATTTACGATAGTTTTGACAATAAAGCCTTTTTACATGACCTATAGTGATATACTTTTATTGAATATATTATTTTTGTATAATTCTTCTACTTCCTCATTTAAAGATTTTAGGATAATAAATCAAACATGCTTTTTATTTCTCTGATCTGAATTTACAAATGGGATATTTTATATATTTTTTCAAATAAATATGAGAAAAAAAGTGCAATCAAGCATCTTTTATTTACCAGAACTATTAGAACAGATTTTACATTTTTTAGTAATAGATAAATCCTTCTACCCACTCTATTTATTGACTGATTGTAATACAGATGCGGTACTTTTATTCTATGAAAACAAGTTGAGCTAAAGAAAAATAACTTATATCCTAAGCAATTTTTTCTAGATGATTATAATTATTGTAAAGATGACTGCTCTTGATTAAAGAAATTCATAAAATTAGTACGTGGAAAGCAAAAGCCAGTTTATTGTTCAAATGTAATTCATCTTGAAATTTTTTACTACCATTCACTTTGGGATAAAAAAATCATAGGCATTGTGCACTCATGCCCAAATATAATTCATTTAGGTTTCAAAAATAGTGTAAGATTTAGTAATAGAATATTAGAACTGATAGCAGATTCATATCCAAATCTGAAGTATCTTAATCTGTATGATGATCAATCAGGTAACTATGTAAGCCTTCATGTTTGAGAAGTAGGTGATAGAGGTTTATAGAAAATCACACAATTATACCATAAATTAGAATATCTAAACATTTTGTATCACATAGAAATGCTTGAACCATCAATTTGTAATATTATTCATTCCTGTCCAAAGCTCTAGCATCTTAGTCTTAGATTTTGTGAAATTAGTGATATGATTATCAAAGAAATTACTTGTTCGTGTCTTAATTTAAAGTATCTCGATTTGAAAGGGTGTTATAATATTAGCAAAGAAGCTATAGATCAGCTAAATCTAAATATATATGTTGAGAATTTTATGACACCTTTTGATCTCATTGAAATAGTTAGAAATCATCTTACACAGAATAATGTTGCTAGTAGACAGATTTTAGCTCAAAGCCTTCAAAGTCTTTTAGATTTAAGTATACAAAATAATCAGTATTTAGTTCTATCTCAGATGCATTAGCGACATAAAGCTGGTGAAAGAATATTAGCCTCAGAATGCTAGTACTTTACTGATCTAACTAATCTGGATTAATGATCACCTTAGAAGATTTTTTTAGGTTATACCCTATATGATAAAAATATAGATTAGCTAACCTATTCTAAACATGGGCATTGATCTACACTAGCTAAATTTTTTATGAAAATATCATGTAATTCTTGAGAAGTATTCTTCAGAAATAATAGGATTATTTTCTAGGATTAAATCTAAACATATAAAGATATCTTATTGCATTTTTATCAGCTTTTATTTCACTTATTTTTCAATTAGTATAACTATCAATATCAAGTTTTTCAAGTGACATTTTCCCAAATGTTACATCAATAAAATCTTGCATATTTTAATGTAATATTGTAAGGATAGGGTAACCACAGATATTGATTTTTTCTAGTATCAGTTTTAATTTCTTCACTAAATCAAACAACAGCCTAAATGAATCTTCAAGTGGTTTTTCTTTCTTACTTTGATTCAATGTTATTTGATTTGTATTATTATTAATAGATGGTCTCTTTGAGACCGCCATATTGAGTTTTTCCTAAATAGCTATTATATCTTTCTTCTTATATATAAGTAATTCATATAAAAGCTCTTTATGTAAGTCATCATATAATTGAGCATTAACTTGATCAGAATTATTATTAGTATTTCTTATCATAATTGTGTTTATCTCTAGTTAGCATATATTTAATTTTGATACAGAATACTGGTCATCAACTCAGACAGTAATTATCAGCTCAGAAGATTTTTTGCTAAACCACATATATAGTGTTTTTAGTCAGATTATGCAACAAAAAAATAAGTGAATCATCAGTCAGGTCTTGTGTAATATAATTTTTGTATATACTGAAAAGAAGCTATATACGCTACCAGTACTTATTTTTTTATTAAGTATAATTGATCTATAATATTAGTAAAATGTCAGATGATGAGATAGATGCTGAGAAAGAGAAAGCTTTCAATGAATTTACTAAAGAATATGAATAGAGAGAAGAGGATTAGACTATTTATGATGATGATTGATATGATTGAGATGATCTTTTTTATGAAATTAAGACCCATTAGAATACAAAGGCAGTCAAGCATTGGAAAGAAAAAATACTTAAGCGATTTGTATATAGTCTACCCAGTGTAAGTAATCCAACTGTCATTATTTCATGTATTCTTACAATCCAATGTTATTTATCTCTCACAAATAATAAGTCTAATAGAATTGCCATATTATCTACTTGAACTTCGATCAGAAATATAGGGTCCTCCAGAATCTGGTCAGATGGTATATATTGGTCAATCTGAGGTCAGTAACCTTCAGTTTAGAATTTGCTGAGCTATAGATTATGCGACAAAATAGGCTGATTACATAATAGATCTGTATGATATTTTCACATATTAATTTTGCATATATATTCGCTAACTAATATCTCTATCTTTTTTCTCTAAACAAATATGAGAAAATGTAAAGGGAGGTCTAGTTGCAACACAGGACATACCATATAAGTAAAATAGTGTTGACAAAAGCATATATTGTGAAAGGTTAGGGGACTCGCAATTTTGAGATTGATAAGAATTAGCTAACTTTATGTAATGCTCGTTATGCCAAAAAGGATATATTTTTCTTATACTGTAGATTATTAATTAAAGTGATTAACAGATCATTAGCGTATAACAGGTTTGTTGTAGGAAAGGAGTACTTTTAAAATTGAAATATAAGTACGTTACCTTTATTAATTATAGATAATAATTACAAAGTTATAGTGAAAGATACTCAGATTACCCTTACTTGCCGGCTCTATAAGGATATAGAAAAAAATTCTAAAGAATTTACTGTTAACGTCTGCATTACAGATAATATTGATGATTTCAAAAAGAAAATTTACGAGAAAGTTAAGAAGATAAATAATTGTTTTCTTGAGATTTTAGCTGATAATTTATAGTTATAAAAAGTAGAAATCAATAATAACAGTGACGAAGAATTTTCTGGTCTTATCCTAGAAAATGATAATATAAAAAATATAACTATACTTCAAGAAACGATTGGAAAATTCTGGAATGATGATAAAAACGTCCAAAAGAAGGATATACTTATATTATCATTGATTCACTAATTCTATCTAAAATGATAAAGTTGAAACAGGATATAGAGCAGGAATTGACAAATAAGGATCAGAAATTAAAAAATATGAATCAGGATCTTGTAAAATTTATATAACAACTAGAATTGATAGATCAAGGTAAATAGAGCAATTTGACTTTTAACTATATATTTACATAAGATATTTTATAATTATTTTTTAATTATTTGTTAATAGAGCTTGACAATAGGTCTGACAATGAACTTAATAACTTTTATGACTGAATCAGCAATAAAATTTTAGAATCAGTAAACACTTGTGAAGCCATTATTGATAGTAAGATCAATAAAAATAACCTATCAATAATTGATGAAATTGAAGAGAATAAAAAGAATTTGAATATGCAAACTAAAGAAAAACTTAAATATGATAAATATGGAGCTTTAATTAGTTTACAGGAGAATCTGAACTGACACAAAAAACTACAGCATGGAAGAATATTATATAAATGTAGATTTTATAAATTTGAAATGAAATATGATAAATACTTGATATTGTATATCTATAAAAAATATAAAATCATTATGCTGAAAATGATTTTTCAAAAAAAAAAATCTTAATACAGGCACTTGAAACATAATAAGCATTATTTTTTCAGTCATTACCTTTGGTGTTAGATCTTTGAAAACTAAAAAATTTAGCAGATTATTACTCCTCTAATAATTAGTATTTTTTTGCTTATATCATGCGAAGAGACTCTTAACTGTGTAACTTATTTATTTATATCAGTTATTTTGACAATGATCTATTCATAAATAAAGTATAATTTTATTGAGTGTAGTATAGTGGGTAACACTATAAGACATCCAATAAAATTAATGATCTTCAAATGTTAATAAAAATATATTGAGAAATTATTTTTTAAAAAATTCAACATTAATTAATACTTCTTGATAATTCTGTTTAACTATATTGAGATAATTTAGATTAGATTACTGCATCAAAAGTTATAAGCTTTTTAAAATATGTAATTTTATTATGTCTGATTGACATTTAGCCATATAATTTTGGCCTGCATTATGATATTTCAGTCAGAATTACACATGGTGTATTTATATAAATATCATTATAATATCATAATACATGTAAATCTGATTTGTAATCAAAAATTCTGAGAGTAAAAAAAAGGTTTTATGTTTGCAAAAAATAGCTGCAAAAGCAAGACAATAAAGGTATATATAATAAACTAAAAAAATTTTTTTTTTTTAATATATTTATATGGTAATTTTAATCTTTTTTTAGTCCTTTAAAAATATAGATGATAATAAAGAATATAATTCTTCTGAAAATGAAGAACTAGATATGGGATTTGAATGGAAAGATGAATATTTTAATAAAGAATGTTTATTTCAGATTTTAGTTAATAATATAAAAAATTTAAAATCATCTAAACGTCCACTTATATATCATAGAAATTCTATTAGAACTAAAAGAAGAAAGAGAAAGTCTATATGTGAAGCTATTAAGGTTAATAATCAAATGTTAGACAAATTTTTTATATCAAATAAAGAAAAAATTAATGATGGAGGGAAAAATAATAATAAAAGAGATAAAAAGGATGATGATGAAAGAGAAAAAAGAAGTGATGATAAAGAAAGAGATGATGAGTCAACCAATCAATTATTAAATGAATATATCATAAAAATTAAAAATAAACTTAAAGTTGATAATGAAATAACACCAGGCTAAAAAGTTCGATTTAAAGCAATTCAATACTTTTTTAAATTATAAAAATCTGGTCATCAT